ATGGGCGGGGGCTGCCCCCCCCCCCCGCCCACTGTTTTGTTTTTTTAAGCCGGGCGGGCTTGCTTCAAAGCATACAAGTCCCTTCCAAACCCATGCGAGCATTGCGTTTGCAAATGGGGGCGGCTGCGCCTCCCCCAACCTCCCCGCTCTTCTTTTTTTGCCGGCAGGTTTTGCTTCAACGCATACGAGTCCCTTCCAAACCCATGCTGCGAGCATTGTGTTTGCAAATGGCGGGCTGCCCGCCCCAACCCCCCGGCTCTTTTTGTTGCCGGGTACTACTAGCATTGCTCCTAGTACTGCTACTACTACGAGGACGACGACGACGACGACGACGACGACGACGACGACAGCGACGACAGCGACGACGACGACGACTGCTGCTGCTACTGCTGCTGCTGCTACTACTACTACTACTACTACTACGACGAGTAGTTTTTTTATCACTATTTTGTTTTTTGTTTTTTTAAATATCCCTTCCGCCTCATTTTCCTATGGTTTTTACTGCATTATAGTAATTTGTTTTTTTTGATCCTTAGTTTTTTTTGATCCTGCGGTTTAATTTTTTCGATCCTTATTTATTTATTTGATCCCTCACCCCCTTTCACATACCTGTCAGTATGCATAATAGTCACGTGGCAGTGTCAAAGCAGTGCGGCAGTCAACAACAGTTGCACACGATTCGGTTGAGATGTCTGCAGTGCTTCTCAAGTCGTCCTGACTGCCTACTTCCTGAGGAGGCAGGATGAAGGAAAAGGGGCCAAAGGTCGAGGAAGAGGGGGACAGAGCAAAGGAAAGGGGAAAGGCAAAAACTTCAAGGCGAATTTGCGTGTGATGTGCAATTGGACGAAGCATCTTGTGAGAGCAGTCTGGCTATTGGGCACTGAGGAGCCTCCGAAGTCGGACAAAGGCCTTCAGAAGAGGATACAAAGGCCATTGCCGGAGAAAAGGAAGCTGTTGTGACTGTTGCCATGTCAGGTATGCTCGTGGAGACGTTGCCCTGAAAGACATCACATCGAAGAAAGACAAGAAGCTTTCTGGTCAGGAACGGAAGTTGCTTTTTGCGGTCGGGAGGATATCGGATATCATTGAGGTATGCATGGACCAGAGCATGTTTGTGCCTCCAGCCGTGTGGCTGGCAGATGAAGCAACGATACCGCGCGGACCAAGAGACGGCCTTTCGATTGGCAAAGGCTGAGGCTGAAACTGTTTAGTCTGTTTAGTAGTCCTTAGAAGTGCATCGAGGTTAAGGTGAGTACCGTGTGTTCCGAGTTCTTATCATCACAGTGTGCGTCGCAGGTGTTGCAAACTGCAGAGCCTGGCTTTATCGAAGCAGAGGAGGGTGAGAAAACCATGAGGCCCGATGAATGCAGCTATTCGTGGAAAGTTGCTTGAAGGAGTATGCATGGCAACGGGCCTGGGTGTTTTGGCTGTCATTCGAGCGCTTGTGTGTCGCTTGCGGTGAGTGGCTCGTGCAGTTGTCGGCGAATCCGTCCCCAATTCGCACTCACGTGGTGCAATCATGACAGGTTGACACAAGATGACATCATTGAAGCCGTTCGGACCTTGAAGTGAAGAACCGACGGAGGATTGCACAATACTGATCTAGAAAGGCTAGTGTTGGTGTTGCCCGCAAACACTTCTCCTTCGATCTGCCCTACGGCCCGTACTGCTGTGAACTCGGCGAAGTTGCTTTGCAAGGGTCAGCAGTGAGACGAGCGGGTCTATGTCGTACATGCATGTGCCAGGCTCCATGACTCGAAATGGGCAGAACATGCTGGTTGGTGGCATGAAAGGTCATGTCGTTCGGAGCTCAGGAATGCTTTGCAGGAGCCATCAGCAAACTCCGTCACATGTTCGAACAGCCAACAGAACTCGCCTTGGGTTTAACCACGCGAAATAGTTGCAACTAGCCATCGACACGTGCAGTGTGGGTATGCTGCTGCAGGCTTTCATGCATCTCGTCAGACTCTCAGATGTAGGATCGGAAGTGCAACAGAGCGGTCTTCCTTTGGTCAGTCAGAGGTGATATGCAAATAGAAGGGCCGTCTGGCTCAAAGTGGTCTTCCGTATGTCCAGCATCAAGCGAAGAATACATCGCAGGACAGCTTTCTGAAAGCTTTACATAGATCTAGGTTCGGGTTTGAGGGCCTGATTCCAGAGTAAACATGAATCCAGGCATGCGAATGGCGTGTTTGATACAACCGTTGGTAGTACTGCGAGCAGTATTTTGAACCTCCTGGCAGCCCCACTTGTGCCCTGCCGTGGCCTCAGCACCATCTTCATTGCATTTCAACAGTTGTCAGATTCTTGCTGTGCAGCGCACTCAGGTTGTCGCCGCCATGTCTACGGGAAATCCATTTGGATTGTCTGAAATTTCTCACTATGGCACTTCGGACGAGACACTCACACCGCCGCTGCAGCCTGTAAGTGCACTTAAGTGTTTATCAGAGATGGTAAATCGTTCATCTCAGGCACGATGCGAAATGTCGGCGGAAAGGCCGGCGGATTCATCAACAAGAAGTTCTTTCACCCCTCATCCATTCGCAATCAGGACGAAGGGCCGCACTGTCTGTAAATCTGGAGGAAAGAAGCATCACAACCCGCACAAGCAGACGTCACTGGAAGGAGAGACTTTGGAAGGCAATTACAGCTGATGCGGTGGAGCAGCGGAAGCAGGACGACTTGGAAAAGGTCGCCTGGAAGCAGCCTCTGACTTCCGGTGGAAGAGAGTCAAATGTCAAAGCCTGTCCGAGCCGCAGTTAGCTCCTCGAGGCCAGGGAAGAAGAACGCAAGGTCGAAGCCTTGAGGAAGGAGTCCACGACTGCAATAAAAATGGCAACACCGCACTGCTTGCTGTGGATGGCGCCTGACGTCTCGGTTTCAAGGAGATGTATCTGACTGGCCAGTGCAACAAGGAGATGCAACTCGTTTGCAGCTTGCAGCAGCATGCTTGACACTGTGGGAATTCTTACATTGCACTGCACAGGTTTGTAACAGCCTCTTCGGATGCAGCGGAGCGGGTGTCGGTCTGAGCTGTTTGCCGTTTTGCTTGTGCTGCGTCTGAGCCTGAGTCAACACCACATGCTGTCGCAACGGAGCTGCGGCTGAGGGAACGCCCGAGCAAATGAAGGCATTCAAAGAGCTGAAGCGGAGGAAGGAGCTTCTGAAGGACTGAGGTGCACAGCTACAACACGGCGTCGTTTCGGCTACGGGCCCTGTGAGAGGAACGAGCTCGCAAGCCAGAGTCGGAGGCGGAAGAGCAGGCTGGGGCTGTGAAGGTGTCTTTTTCGATCCGTCCCCCGTTCTTGTGGTGTGGTAGAACCTGTCACGCAATACAGCTCTGTGGAGCTTGCGAAAGTTGTCGTTTACCAACTCACCTCAGTAGCGACTCAGGTCAAAATCCCGTTTATAAGCCACGGCCCCCTCACCTGTTCATGCTTTTTTGCAGTGCAGGCATGTCTGCTAAGATCGGTACTAGTTTTAGCCAGCTTTCTGCTTCTTTTGCAAGCGAAATTGAAAACAACTGTCAGCATTTAGCAAAGACAGTAGGTGGCCTCGATTACTTTGAGCACAGCACTGACAATGTGTCCTTGACCCACTAGGAGGCAGGAAGCTCGTCGTTTGCCTGTGCCGGTCCCAGGCTGCCAATATATCCAGACAAATTATGCCCAGCCTCTGCGATTCGCAGTGCTGTGCGGCAATAGATTCGCCTGACCAGTCGCCCCACCTTTGAAGTAGCTTTGCATCATGATTGGTTGCTGTAGGGTCCAAGGCATGTATATGCATGGGCATCACACCTCTTCTTCCATTAGCCGTTGAGGCTCGGGAAGAAAGAGGTCCTTTGTCTTTCTCGGCATGGATGTATCTGTCCCCTGCTGTTAGGGCAGCGCTCTCTGATGAAGTTTTTGCGGCCATTCTTGTTGCGGGGATACAGTCTGATGCTGATTTGGCGTGTTGCTGGACCTCTGAGAACGAAATTCTGGGTGCGTTTCCAGTAGAACTTGCAGAGCGCATTGTGCGGTCATGGCGCGTTGCTGAACAGTGCTTTGTTCGTGATAGTGCGAGGCAGCCATTGCGCGTTCGGAAACAAAACGTGAGCCAGTGCCGATCGCGGCACGCCCGGAGAGCGATGTCTCCCCCCCTGCTATGCTGCAGGGTAGGGCGTGTAGACTTCGAGGACCTCAGCTTGCACCGGCACCACCACCTTTGCATGAGCAGTCGCAGCGGATGCAGCAAATTGATGTCATGCTGGACATAGTCGTGGCGTCGGGCTCTGCAAACACCAGGTTTTCACCGACGGAGTTGCAGATTAGAGATGAAGTGCTACCGTTGTTCCGGAGGCTACTGGACAAAGTCTCGGACTCGAGGCTGTCTTCGCCGCTGACTCCGTTGAAGAGATGGATCCGCCACGCAGAGTGCCATATATCGGCGGACCCCCCATATTGGATGCCTACTGCTACGGGGCTTGCTGCATTCCTGCAACAGGTGTCTGAGGGGGGCCGACAGCAACGGTAAATGTGTACCAGAACCTGAAGCGGTGGGCTGAGAACCTTAGGCTCCCTCTGCCGGTTCGTGACCCATTGGTTGCTATGTAAAGTGCCGCCCGCGAGCCATGAGGTCAAGCAGCGGACGCCTCTATCGCTGCGTGTTTTCTTTGCCCTCTGCACTAGGCTGGCAGATAGCACTGGCACAGTCAAGGCATTCATCGCATGAGTTCTCCTCTTGTGTACGGCTTGTCTGAGGTTTGCGCATTTGCAGCGATCCGTGAATCTTCGATGCGAGAATTCCTTACTGTCGGCCCCGTGTGTATTTTAAGAGGAAGCAGCAAGGAGTACAGCAACCCTTCGTGTGTGCCAGCTTGTCCGTCACCACACACATGTTAGCATTGCGCCCACATTGCTGCTGGAGCATGGTGAGTTGTGCGTGTCCAAGCCTGATGCATCATTCGTCATTCCGGACCTGCAGCTACCTAGATCAGGGCGGTTGGAGCCAAGCGCTCCTTAGATTGCTCGCAAGATGAGTACGGCTAAGTTCGGTGATCTGACCAAGAGCCTACTGCGAGCGATCGAGGTCCAGGATGAGGACGTGGAGACGCCTTGCCTTCCAGTTACTCCTTCCGGCGGTTTATGCCGACGCTGGCTGGTTGCCAGGATGCACCATATGAGTTCAGTCCAGGCTGGCTATCGGCAATTGGGTCGAAGCCGCGACCGACAAGGTCACGGCTCAGTCAGCCGGGTCAGCAATGCCTATAAGATACTCTCATGAGAAGGCAGTGACCGCTGGTGTGGCTAGGCTTCACATGTTGGTTGGATTGGACCTCGTGCCGAAGATGTCCCAGCCTAGGCCGATTTGTTGGGCCGATGTTGTTCAGATTCGGCCAAAATCGGCGCAGCTTGGAAGTCAGCAGATGATATGGTACCGAAGCACGACTTAGATGATCCGATTCGGAGCGAGGAGCTGACCGGTGATAGTGGCAGTTCTTCGTCGTCATCTCCTTCTTCGTCGCTTAGAGCTTCTGCTGAGTCAGATGAAGCCACTCGAAGGGCTCAGTCCACCTTGTGCAAAGGCGGGCTAGGTTAGTGCCTTTGGTGCCGGGATATCCCATTCGACATTGCTCATTATCAGCGGGGCTATGGCGCCGACTTCAGCGAAGACCGGGGGTTGTGCAAGAAATGCATGACGAGAGCACCGACCGCAATTATGGCACGGTTCGCTTGATGACCCGTTGCGTGGCTGCGTCAAATGCTGTGCCGAGGAAAGGAGCTGATCTTGTTCCGGTTTGTGCGGAAGACTTCTTGAGTGCATCCATTACGTGATGCGAACTTTCCGCGCAAGCATTTCGCTTCATGTAAGTTTTAGTTTTTAGGCTGGTTGCTTCTAGGTGCAAGGATGGGAGCAGCCCCGTCAGCCTTCGAGGATAATGTCGATGCAATCTTTCGGGTCCTCCTTTTTCTACCCGCCTCGTGGCTGTCAATCCTTAGGGAGGCCATGCGGAGTTATGAGAACCAGCCCGACTTAAAGAACCCAGTTTCGTCGTACAGTGCAGCACTTCCTTTGTCGAGTACGAGCAGCGCTGGCCATCGGTCTGGTGCTCACCTGACTGATGATGTTGCGGTGTGAGTGCAGAGGCGGTCCTGTTATATGGTGTCAGATAGGCTTGGGCAGCAGTGCTTTAGTGAACGGCCGTTAGCCAGTGGAACTTATGTTGCAGTGTTTGTGGATTGGGAGTTGGTCACATTGGTTTACCGCCGCGGAAAAGGCAGCGCTATTTGCCTTGAGCAAGTGGGGGTGCATTGCATTCGGCAATGCATTCGTGTATTCTCGAGTGTGTCGGCATTGACTTGATGCACAACTGCACTCCACATTGGGACTGAGCATGGCGGGCACTTCCTCGCTTGGGTCCTCGGACCGGCCGCCGCACATTGCGATGACCGAGATCGCGGAGTTCCCTGATCCTGTGCTTGAGTCAGTGTGTCAGGCCGTCCCCGAGGCAGCGCGGCGCAAACTACTTCGGGCATTGATGGCTTGTGCCGCTGAGGCCGCTGAGAGTGATGTTCAGGGACTTGATGAGGGGAAGGAAACCAGGCCATCTACGTATGAAGATCTTGTCCAAGAAGCCATGCCGGCGGCCGAATTGTTGGCTGCGTCGCCGGGGTGGCCAGCTGCCCTCTTTCCCGCCTCCTGAAGCCGCACCGTTACCGCCTACGCGCCGTAGAGTGCGCTGCAAGATTTTATTCACGCTGGGCTGTGCTAAGACTTGCAAAGGATAAGCCGAGTGCAAGGCCTGCCACAGAGCAGGCAGCTCGTCAGCTTAGGAGGTGACCGCCATGAGGATCATGGCTCAGCATGCCAGTGTGGAGCCTATATTGACTGCGGGGTACATTCCTGTTCGGTCTGCTCGTATCACATGGGGACCCGCCTAGGCTCCCGTGTGATTATGCATTCGGGCCTGCAGGTGTAGCACGTTGATCGGCGGATGTTGTGCTTAGCTCTGTCTGGATGCTCTTCTAGCCTTTCGCAGCAGGGGGAAGCAGCGGTACACTAGGGGTGCGTAGGCCATGGAGGCCTTGTGCGGTGTACTGCAGGCAGCCCGGACGAGCGAAATACCTCGTTGACATGCTGCACTTAGCGTCAGTGGAGGATTAGGTGTTCGTTGTTTCGGCCGCCTGTTACGAAACAGAACTGGAAACACTCATCACAGACCGAATTCCTTCAGTGAAAGATGTTCCTATTGAGCTGGCCCGCCGACGGGCGGCTTGGCGCAAGGCCAAGTCCGAGTTGCTCGAGTCGGAGGACAAGGCTCGTCGTGGTGCTGCCCCGGCGGAGGAGATGGATGAGAGCCTGGAGGCTACGATCCGGGACGATTTGATGGCCCGCTTCGCTAGGAGTTATGGTCATAAGATTTTTGTCCATATGTTACCGTCGGATACGGTTCTGGCACGAGTGTATCGCGAGTTGACTCGGAACCTGCCGACTTCGGCTGAGAGGCAGATCTCATTGGGAGCCAATGACTGTCAAGGTGGATGAACAAGAGTCGGCGCAACATCTGTGACTACTACCATGCTCTGCGACCAACGTACATATGGCCCTGCGATAGTCGACAGAGCTCAGCAGTGCCGGAAAATGAAGGTGAGCGAGGGCACAGCAGCCACATCCTCAGAGTGATCCCCTATGCATATTCCCTTCTAAGCTTCCTGCCCTAGCTTTCGTGACCCTCTTCTCAAGCCGGTCTTTGGTGTTTGAGTTTTGCAGTGAATCTGCTTATGGCCCAGCAGTGGAACGAACAAACACCAACATAAAATCTTGCGGTTTATGGGAACAGCACGAGCGAACATGCACGCAGCCATGATTAGCTAGATATGTCAGCATACATGTAGCACAGTACCCCACGTACATGGAGAAATCATCAGCACTTTTCTCCTCTTCACATCAAACCCCACACGCAGGTTTGTGTGGCATCGTGGAATGTTGAAACGATCATAGTTTTCATTCCCGTAGACACAGAACCTCCACTTGACTGCCATGCAAGAAACCAAAGCTGACACCTGCCATAGTTTTTGGGAGGTTTCCCATTCTAGTAGCCCCGCCGGCAAACATCATGGAGTTGGTGCACAGGGAGGCCGTTCAGGTTAGCTACAGTTGGGCTATATTTCTATGTTATTTGATTCATCTATAATCTGCCAAGCGCAATTCTTGGAATCACTGTGGCAGAACGACATGTTCAAACATCCCTGGCAGAATCGCCGTTTCGCAGTGAATGTATGGTACTCATTGTCCTGTGGCAGCATGCAAGTTCTGCATGCCAAAGTGTTTCCAGGGAAACCCACCTGCAGAAAAGAACAACCAGCCCACACACACGCACACATACAGAAACACACACACACACACGCACACACACGCACACACATACACAACACACACACAACACACACAACACACACAACACACACAACACACACAACACACACAACACACACAACACACACAACACACACACAACACACACACACACACAACACACACACACACAACACACACAC